TGCACTGGACATATTCACACAAATTTTCCTTATTTGTTGTATAAGAGGAACATAGATTTTTTTCCCTTTCGTCTCAGTCCCTTTTACTAAATGCACAAAAATGTTTGTTTTGTGTATGGATTTACTGGACAAGCTCTTAGTATTGATCACTGTTCTGTTCTGGTTAAATAGATGGGTGTTGTCTGGGTGTATCTTGAGACCAAAATTAGTTATTACCAATAATTAACTATTCAAGCTGTTAATTAACAATAACAAATGTTGTGTGCCTGAACCTTATCTAGCTGGTCCCAGCATTCCAAAGAAAAAAACTTAGTAAGTAATTTAAAATTACTTGACACATGCAATTTATTCAGTAAAAATTAAAAGGGCATTTGAGCAGCTGAAACACATTCCTTTGCCTTGGAGACATCCACCCTACCCTGGTCTGCACATCAGCTCTAGCAGCTATTTTCTGTTATACAAATGGAAAGACTGCGTCTACTCAAACCTGGCACTGTGTACTGTTCCCCTGCATCCATAGGGACTCAGACCTGCCTGGCTGTATGAATGAGTATTGTGCTTGATCTGATTCATCTATTCATTTGATTTTACTTTCCTCCTGGGAAATTATTTATGTTATTTGGCAATATGTAATACATGTTTATTGTATTCTAAAATAATTTAAGACTACATAAAACAGAAGGAAAGAAAGGAAAAACTGTATGCAGTGATTAACTAAATATAACTAAATGCTGTGTGGCGTGAAAAATGTAAAGTTCATGGCAATTTGTGGTTAGAAAAATCAATAATTCATAAGAAATCTTAAAATGTGAAGAGCTTTGCTGTGATGACATACTTAATGTTTGTGGGCAGTGGTGGGATGATGCAGTGAAAAAACATAGAATAGAAAGCATTCACTTTATTTTATGAAGGGGTTAAATTTAGCCGGACAAACGTATTTCCCAGCCATTAGGACGCCTATGGTAAAGGTCTTTCCTCTTGCGTTTGTGAACTGTATTTATGTTTCTCTGTAACGGCATGGTAAAAGTGAAAAGACTCAGTCAACAGTTTCACTGCCCAATCCAGGAACTTTGTTTATGAGGTAACAATTTGGAAAGCTTTGCTGTGAAAGAAAAAGGTTGGAACAACGTGAGAAGTATTCATATANCCTTTTTCAGCTTCTACAAGTCAAGGCTTTCTCTTAATACCTGGAAAGACTAAAACTAAATAAAAACTAAACTGAAACTAGTCGATTCCTCAAAATAAAAACTAAACTAATTACTTGCTGAACTAACTAAAACTAAACTGAAATAAAAAAGCAAACTGAAAAACTAAATAAAAATAAAAACAAAGTTAGATGTGGAGGCTGTTTGTCATTGGACAAGGAGTGTAGTTCCAAACTTTCTGCTCACACTAAAAACTATTCATTAAATTCTCAAATGAAGAAAAAAAAAACATGTGTTGGCCTGATGATGAAACACAGACAAAAGGTCAGTGTTAATCGTGTGGATTTTATTAGTTTAATGGCCCCAGTTTCTGTCTCTTACTTTTTATTGTCTTTTTTTCCACCAGGAAATCCAAGCCACCTGGTATGAGAAGCTGCATGAGTGGGAAGATGCCCTGGTGGCATACGACAAGAAGATCGACATGAACAAAGAGGATCCAGAGCTCATCCTAGGCAGGATGCGCTGCTTAGAGGCCCTGGGAGAATGGTAGGTCCTTAGTAATATCTGCTCTGTTTTCAAGGCTACAACAAGTATTCAAATCAGTGATTCCCTGCCAGGTCCCAGATTCATATATCTTTTGAATGTTTGCTGACCTGGGTTTTTTTTCTTCTAACACAAACTGCTCTCGGCACATTGATATAAATGTGATTCACTGAAGTGATAAAACAAAGAGCACATTTTAGTTATTCAGTTATTCTGCTCTAGTGGATAGAGACAGCATCTGAGGCTGTCAACTTGCTGTGGGCTCTTGATTCCCTCTGTTTTTTTTTGCTCAGTGCGTGGGCAGCCTTTTCCTAATGATTCCTGTCGTTAGCCCTTTGATGACTGAGCAAAAAGAGAGAAAACAGTTTCTTTCACTTGAATGATGTAATTTTACCAGGAAATGCATGAGCAGGCATCCAACAACAGTAAGAGGCGCCGCCACTCCAATGAAACCTCACAGCCCCACGGCTGAGGCTCAACTCCATGACAACCGCCCACCTTCAAAGAGCATTTTTATGGGAAAAGAAAGTCACAAGATGTCCGAAGCATCTAAATATGTGGAACGTCAAAGAGCGATGACGCTAAGCAGATGTTAGTTTACTTATGTAACCTGATTATCCAAGTACCATTGTTGTATAAAGTATGATTCATTTCTCAAGAAATGATTCAATCATTTTACAAGAAAGTGATTCATCTAGAGATGGTTTGTATTTATGTTTGTGTGCTTTGAATGAGTGAGACTTGGAGCTGATACAGTACAGCTGACAGAGTCAGAGCACATTGTTCCCTAAATTTAGGTATTATACAGATCCTCCCTGTGCTAATCCAAAGCAGTTGAGAGGGATTATTAAAATGCAATTAATGTTTATGAAGGTAAAAAACTAAATCCTCAAAAAACGTTGGACATCCTGAAAAGAGTCTTTTGTCTAAGATAGTAGTTCAGATAGCATGACTGCACCCCAAAAGTGAAGCCAAAGCCCCTTGGTAGTTGGTTGCAGTATAGTTCAGATGGGAGATGGACCAAACCAAAAAGTCAAAATACACATCAGATACATTTTTAATGTGTCTGTCTTTTTAGTTAGTTCTAATCTCACTGTTTGTTCGAGTGCTTTTTCAGTTAAGTGTGGATTTAATTCATTATTATTTATTTGATGCCATTAAAATTGGGTGACACGTCATGATTCACAGCTGAGACTGAGTTGCGATTGGTCGAGCTCATGTATCGGTGGGACTGTGAAGCCATGGCTCAATCCCCTGATCGCACATGGACTTAGTCCCGTTTGAACTGGTACAAGAGAACACCACGGGAGGGATGGAGATATCAATCAAGCACAATTGGTATTCCACCTGTGTGAGTGGCCCAATGCTGTCCAGTGTAGAGCCTTTAAAAACCTGTTGCTAAATATGTCTCTTCGACTCACAGAATGTATTTTAGCACCTTATTTATTGAAATTCCAAAGATGTGAATGACGGTGTGCTGAGTCATAGAATAACTCAAAGTCATCCTTCCACTCTTTCCACACTGTTTGTCTGCTGTGGACACCCGGATGCCAAGTGTATCGGAGCTTTTTGTTCTTGTTGCTTTTGTGTTGTATGATAGCCAGGCAGCTGGAGAACGACTTCACTCCTATGACCTCCATCCAAACCTGCCTCTCACTTTCTCTCCGTCTATCCCTCTGCCTGTAAAACACATGCGGTGGGCTTTGTGGTCCTGGACAATACTGCACTGATTTTTGTTAATGAGGATTTAGTCATGGTTAGATACATGTGACCCCAACAGGAACATCCATCTGTTTGCTGGGATACTTGATATTATGAGGCCCTTTATGGATCGGTACACTGATTTAATATGTTCATCTTCAAGAAGAAATGAAGAAATAAATAATGAGGCTGATGTAATTATTAAAAAAAACCTCATATCTCCATTCAGTTTCCTTCTCATCCTGGGCCAGAAGGGCTTTGCTGATCTGGTCAATGATTTCTTCAATTGTTGTTTTGTGCAGGGAAAGTAAATGTACTGTCTTGGCATGTACATCTTATCATTAGGACTTGTGGACATCAGGGGAGACTTTGTATCTGTTTAGAATAAAGTCTGGTACATTATTACCTCACTTTACCCTTGGGATGGGAAAATGAAGCAACAACACATGCACACACACACACACACACACACACACACANACACACACACACACACACACACACACACACAGACTGAAAGAGGAAGAGCTCTCAAATGACAGCATAGTCGTGGCAGAGTTCTGATAGCTTTACCTGGCAGAGTCTGCACTGCAGCTCATCTTGTACTTTTTTGAAGGAGCTTCACATTCCTCACAGATCGTTTTGATGGCTGTAGCATTTTTGGCTTTGCATGTTTCTCCTGTTCGCACAGAAGCATCTAGTCTAATAGAGACAACACACATAACTTATAGGCAAATGGTAGTAACGCAGATCACAGTTGCCAAAGAGCTTTTAGGTACATTACTGCTACCTTGTGGTTGTCATGACTCACAACTTATTAGCATGCGCAGGTAAAAACAAGGAAACTTATATTTTCAAAAAAAGACGACAGTTGCATAAACGTTTATTTTACTATTACTTAATAATTATTAAAAAATTCAATGCTATTTCATTGTGTAATACCATTTTAAATAATCTGCATATCGCATGGTGTGTTAGAGCTGTGTGAAAAATTGCTGATATTTTTTATTCATCCATTAATGCATTCATTGGTAGAGTACTTTCTCCTGGATTATATGCGAGGAAGCTGAAGTACTTCCTCCTGACCCGACTCAGTTGGTAGATAAATCAGCTTTTAACTATTGCTTAACTACAGTTCTAAATTTACAACCATCCACCAAGATTGAGCATTTCACTCCTCTTTGTTGAATTCAATATTTTTCAATTTATTTATTTATCTGTAAAATACACAGCCTGGTGGTTTCTGTGTGTTCTCCCCATGTCTGTGTTGGTTTTCTCCAGGTACTCCGGATTTCTGCACCATTTCAAAGACATGTAGATTGGGGTTAGGTTTTTCACACAGCTCAAATACACTGTTTGATATGCAGATAATTTCAGATGGCATTACACAATGAAAAGCATAATTTAATCCCTTTTTGCATTATGATCAAATGGCTTGTTCAGTTCAGTTACAAATTATATGAAGTTATAACTGGAACCTAATCAGGATTTGGCTTTATTCTAAACTGTATGGTTAATGTTTTCCAGGGGCCAGTTACACCAGCAGTGCTGTGAGGAGTGGACACTGGTGAGCGAGGAAACCCAGGCCAAGATGGCTCGTATGGCTGCTGCTGCCGCCTGGGGTCTAGGTAACCACTGAAGTACCCAATATCACATATAAACTACCAGTTAACCGTAATAACACAAATATGTTACAAGTAATAGGATATATATGGTATGAAACAATAGACAACATAGTAACAGTCAGGGAGGTCTTATGAAAAGGTTTGTGCATGATCATTAAGGGTCCTCTGTGTGACTCAATACAACCGTGCAAGCAAACCAGGCAGCAATGAAAACAGTAAGAGCTCCCGCCAAGTCTCCCTCCCATAACTAGATGGGATTGGTTTCCAGTCATAACATTGACATATCATAACGTGCAATGGTGGAGAAAAGCAGGGACCACACTGCAGAAGCTACCCCTGAGGATTCTGGTCTGACTACTGAGGCTTCAACTTTCCAGACTCAATTGCGAGACCTGAGATGATACAGCCGACCTTTAAATCCAAAGATTCAGAACCTCTTTTGTTGTCGTCTTTGGGAAGCGAAGTGATGAACTTGCAATCATTTATGTAATGGCAAGAGGAGGTGAAGTGCGGTTCAAAGCAGAACTTATAGGCTGCTAAACCTCTATCTGCTTCTGTTTTCTGCAGTGAGGTTATAAGACATCCATATTTAAATATTACACTCATTTTCACAAGCGTTCTGCCTAAGCCTTTATCTGACTGATGTTTCTTCAGGGCACTGGGACAGCATGGAGGAGTACACATGCATGATCCCAAGAGACACACACGATGGCGCTTTTTACAGGGCAGTGCTCGCCCTGCATCAGGACCTCTTCTCATTGGCCCAGCAGGTGGGTTTACATCATCACTCACTAATACACCCAATGGAGCGTATTTCCTTTCATTCAATGTACATTAAAGGCCTGGTATGTTTTTTCAGAATATATCACATAAAGACATGCCTCATGGGACTTTGCCTCGTGGCTTCTGGAATTCTAATTCAACTTTATAGCAAGGTTTAAAAAGCTAAAATCATTGGAAACTAACGCTGCAAAGACACATAAAAATGACTTTACGACTATTCCAGTCAGGATTGAATTCCCCCATCAGCGCAGGACTTTCATTAAAAGAAATAAAATGGAGCAGTTTTTTTATTCTTTTACAATGTCGACGTTCTTCGGTGTGGAAATGTTATGCAACTCTTGAAATTGTAAATCGTCAGAGCGTCCACCCTCAAACAAATAAAGGGCCCGTTCCCCTCCTGTCTGCCTGTCAACAAGGTCTGGTGAAGGTCAGGGTGGTGTTTTCCTCATTTGAAGAAGGTGGGGGATCATTGATGAGCTCATGCTCCCTGGAAATGGATTTGTTCAAGTTGGATGCCTGCGCGTCTAACAAACCCAAGCTGCAACACCAACACCAGTAAACACCTGCTCCTCCAATTTCCCCTGGACTCATCTTACAAGTGGCTTTTTTTACCACAAAGCCCCAGAGACTCGCTCTCTGTGCCCCCTCGTCTTCTCAACAGCCTCCCGCTCCTCTCTCATTTGCAGATTGACTCCAGGTGTGGCCTGTAGCACTCTGCATCAGCTGAATAGGAAAAGCAGACTTTTGACTCTTGCTGACAATGAGGCCACTCACAATGAATGAAGCGGAATGAAAAGCAGATGGAGCGAGGGTAAAAGCTTAAATGTCAACATGAGCTCAGTCAAGTCTTCCGGATGTGGTGGGTAATCCTCGAACTCGAAACTTCGTATTCCATGGGGCAGTTTCCAGCCTCCATACCCCCAACAACCAGACGTCTGCTCCAGGAGTGTTGGTGTGCATCTGTTTTAGGTTCAGGTTTCTTTGCTTTGTAAATCTCAGTGTTTGGTTGCAGCAATGATGCGTAGACACGACAGTCGTGCTCCCTGCTATTAAAGCAGACTGCAGTGCGAGGATTCATGATGTATCCTGTCCACCAGAGAGCGTTTGATTTATAAATTGTCTTAGAGCCTTTCCTTTGACTTCACAGTCATGTTTTGAGTTTCCATTAGTGGTTGATTTGGCCCAGCATTTCACAAAGAGGCCGTCAAACCACACTCTAATGTAAAATAATGTAACTGGACTTAAACCCTATGTAAGAACATAAGTGCAACCTTTATGTGTGAGGGTAGGAGATTGGGTCATGGTTTGTTTTGTGCTGCTAGGAGCCAGACACTGCATTTATCAGGAGTCGTCTGGACTGCACATTTCCAATGAGGCCCCAGCACCAGTAACTCAGGAGTAAACAGGACCATAACTGAGTGGGGGCTGTAAAGACGTAGCCTCATTGTCACTTTGTCCTAACCACCCTCCCACAACCCCTCCTCTTGTTGTGCATGCCTGAAAAGGTGTTTTGGCACGCCATCACTCCTTTCCCTCCCCACGAAAAAAATAATTGGTGGGAGTGGGTCTGAAACAGCTGTGTTCTGGCCTTCTCAGTCATTCTCCCTCATTTTACCCTCCCACAAATAACAGCTTCCTAAAAACATTGGCTGTTGAAGCCAGAGAAATCAGCCGACTTTCAGCCTCAATACTCATGTCCCTGTTTGTCTCCTCTGCTGCACTGGATCAGGTCTTTCTATCAGTTGCTGTTTTTCCACCCGTCAGGATTCTCACTTGTGACGGATTGTTTGAATGTAATGTCCTTGACTTGGGAGAAGTGTTGTTCTGGTAGGAAAAGTCAGGGATCTGGAATTTGTACAAATGACTCAGTAATATACAGTAATACACTCGAAATAACAGGAAGGTAGTAAAAAGATCTCGGTGCGTGAATGTACTCTGAACGTCATAAAAATCTTTCAGTACATCATGGTCATGATGGGAACCATTACTAACAGTCCCCGTTCTGAATTCTTCCTCTTCACTTTCCAGTCCCTCTGCCCTCCTGAATGTGCAAGGTTTTTCTTTAAAGATGTGTATGACACCAACTGTCACTCTTAACAGATCATCTACTCCTCATAAAGCACTTGGGACTTGGCAGTACATCAAGACATTTGATACAAAAACTGGATTTCCAGTCCAGTGTCACTGTTGGTAGCACTTAAGTAAAAACGGTCTGAGCAACAAGCATTAACAAGTGTTTTTGTTCCCTGGGTTTAGTCAAATCCTGGCTGGTCCTCATGCAAGTGTGACATTGCGTCATGGCAATCTGGAATTATGCCATCATTACATAATTGAGGAAATGCCATAACTGCTGTGTGTCAGCTGTACTAATGAGTTGCAGCATCTTAAGGAGGCGACAAAGTCAAATTCTTAATTTTGTATTAAGAAAAACACCCAATCTCACAATTTTAAAGAAAGAGATAAAAAAAAATCATGGATTCTCACCCTGATCCGGATCTGCACCAAAGTTCAGCATCTTCTTTACTGACCCATACTGCATTCTTCCATTAAGTTTCATGGTTTTTGCATAATCTTGCCTATAAACAAAGCAACAAACAAATAGACGGGGGTGAACCCATAACCTCCTGGGTGAAAGCAATAAAGAAAACATTTGGTTTGAAGGCTTTTTTGCAGTATTTGAGTGAGTGGAGGAATTTATTTTCTTAACTTGTCATTGTTTTATTAATGTGTAATTGTGTTTTTGTTTGTAGTGTATTGACAAAGCAAGAGACCTCCTGGATGCGGAGCTGACGGCCATGGCTGGAGAGAGCTACAGTCGAGCCTATGGGGTAAGAGATTTACAATATTCAACCCTTGGCTTCAGTCTACTATCTCATTTTTCATAGCAGATGTGTGCAGAGAGATTATGTCACAACAACAACGTGATGATTTATAGAAATTGATTCTCTCTGCTCTACATGCTATAGAAGTCAAAATCGTAAATATTAATGGTTTCAACACAGCTTTGTTTTTCATATTTGTATCTGTTAACATGGTATTATCCAAACAACATTTCAAATAGATAGATATGACAACAGCAGTGTTCTTGTCATCCAGATGATGTCAGGTGCAGTAACCTTATCCTAAAAAAAACTTTTGAGCCTTGTTGATTTTGATGCACACACCGTCTGTGCTCACTATGAAGACTGACAGCAGACACACATCAGCAGCCATCTAGACTTTGGATGTAGTTTCAAATGTCAGGTGTAAACCAAGCCATCACATGGAGATGACTGACCTCTTCTGACAGATTCCTCACAGGAACGTCCAGTTGGTTGCTGGATCCATTCTGATGAATTTTCAAGCTGTTATGATGCTTTTCATATTGAACAGAGGGAATTTTGCTCTGATTTAACAATGAACGCCTGGATAAGAATCAGTGTGTGCATGTGTGTTTGTTTTCCAGGCCATGGTATCTTGCCAGATGCTGTCAGAGCTCGAGGAGGTGATCCAGTACAAGCTGGTGCCAGAGAGGAGGGACATCATCAGGGAAACATGGTGGGAGAGGCTTCAGGTAACCACAGCACATGATATATGGACACACACACACACACACACACACACGCACACTCACGTGTGCAACTACAGATGCAATGTAAAGCAGATGTTGGAAAGGCTACTGTTACTAATGGGAAACATTTCAAGCCATACACCATCTGTACAGTCAAAGACATATGTGAATACCTTAGTGTGGCTTCTCCATCGAGTTGGTCTTTATCGCCACTTCTCTGTATTTATTTCCCATAGAGTGAGTAATTTCATAGGAGATTAGAAAAGTAGTGTCATGTTGTGCTGAGGGTGCTTCCAAAAAACAACCAAAGAACATCAGTAGTCCTGCAGCCACGTGGGGAACAGATTATTGTTTCAAATTTGTTACATTTTGAATGTATGTTTTTGAGGTGGACTCCAGGGACATAAGCAGTGCTTCAGGGCACAGCTAATAGTGACGCTAATAAATAAACAACAATATTTCCAAGCTAGGCTTTTTGATATTCAGTCACAATCTTGGAATTGTAGTTACATCAGCAAAGAAAAATGAAGCAGGAAAAATGTTTGTGCTTTTTTCACAATAGCAGTGGAGGTGGTCTTATGTTGTAATGAGCCGAATACTGAATCCAGAAGGCAGCAGCATGTCAACAACCATTCACATTTGAATCTGTGTTTATTATTGTAGTCATGTAGCAGGTTAGGGGGTTAGTATATTGGACAACAGCAGTGGCATAGGAGGTCAGAGCTCATGATGTCATGCGACGGGATTGGATCTGATTTCAGTGATAAAACAGAGGGACATGTTGAAAAAGTCAGAGATGAGCCTTGCATTCAAAAAGCACTTGCTTTCTGTACTTGTGCCTGTGTACTGATAGTTTTGGCCATTAACTGGAAGTCATGATCAAAAGTGACAGTTAGCACATACAGTAAATAGACTTGTTACCCTGGTTTCGATGGATTATTAGAACAGACCTTTCCAAACACAGCTACAAACCACGATCACTTCTGATCAAAGTTGCCAATGCAAGCTTGAAATGATCTCATTGTGTGCAACCGGCCGTTCAAACCCATCCAGACTGTGCTTCCCAAAACTGATTATGATTACTATTATTATCTTTATTAATTGTGAATTACAGAGTTGTACATGCTGTTAAATGAGACATAAGGATGTGTGGAACAGCCACAAATCCACAAGTGGTTTGGAAATATTTGCCTTTCGCCAAGGCTTGTGAACTTGAGACAAATGCCATCCGATCTCAGATAATACTGTTAAAGTTCATCTTTTCCGTGTTGGCCCTTTTACAGCTGAATCAACATGTGATTATTTGAAATGACTCAGCCTTGTTCGTGCCCTCTGAAGGAAAAGTTTTAAGTCAGGCAGATAAACTTTTGATCTGCTTTGTATCATCCCTGATTCTCTGTATTAGACATGCGGTATTATGTTCAATTTAATGCAGCATGTATAATGCTATTTACACTCATCCCCTCTCTACATTCCTCATCTCCTGCTCACATGTTACTGACATTAAGGAAAATCCTCATTACCAAAATATAATAATCATCCTTCACCTCACCCACTGCCCAACAAAATGATATTCAGCTGCAATCTGTCATCCTGAAATGCTCCATCCAACTTAATGCTAGCATTGACTCTGCATAACAAAACAGAGTACAAATAGCTTTGTGCTTTCCATAAAACCAAGCAAGGACACAAAGAGAATTCGTTTTCAAAGTTATTTAAAAAAGGTTTGATATTAGTCAGCACCAAGACCATGTTAAAGACCGACACCCTTTGTTTTCTATAAAACTGTTGTATTTGTGTTGATTGGTTTTATCTAGCTGTCGAAATGCACTTATTCCCCACTCAATTACTTGTGACATTTCAAAGGTTTCTTTGAAATTAAATCAACCAATTTAATGGAAAACATGCACACACACACACACACCTGTGCAGTAAAATGAGGATACTCTTGATCATCTCGACTTTTTCCATTCATAAACCGGAGGTCAGTTCGAGGGGGTATTTGGGATCAAGAGGGGTCTTTCAGCAAACAGTCTGGGCCCATAATGGCAGCACCGAAGGTGGGGCTGTTGTACTTGACAGGTTCGTCCTCTAGTGATTTATTTGAGGCTGACCTCACACATCTGTCAGTGAGTCACGGTTCCTCTCCTTTACTCTTTCTCCCTCTCCCTCTTCTTCTTTAAAGGAGTAAGATGTATGGCAAAGTATGTATTAAAATACCACTTTTTGTTAATGTGTGCAATGAGAGAGTTTATACAATTCTTCTCATGTCACAACCAGCCAACTCAGCCCTAGGCAGCAGCTTGAAACTTTGAGACTCTGTTCTGTTTTTTTTATTTCCTCTAGATGCTGATAATTAATCATTTTAACTCTGAGAAAAGGTCATGCACCTTCATTGGACAAGTGTTGTTCTGTGGACAGGTAGCTTTTCAGCCACCTTTAATTAAATATCGATAGTACATTTACCCCCCAATTTTAGAGCGTGCTACCTAGAGCCAGTGTGTCCTGCACTCTCTCCAGCCTGATGAACAGGTGTGTTCTGACTCTGGGCTGGCAGTTGTTGGCATCTTCTGTACAGGTTATTCGCTTCCTAAGGGTTTCCTAAGGACCCAGCCATGCTGCCTTTTATAGTGCCCTTATGTAAGCGCTGCCTTGCACCCTGACAGCGTATTTTGTATTTTTGCACTGGTGGCATTGCTGAGTCTCATAAGTTAGACCTGTTGAGAATGCCATGACGTCCAGCCTCCCTGTTGACCCTGCCACACTTCTCTGGTTTTGTATTGTTCCTGCCTTGTCTGTGTCATCTCTTACGCCTCCACAGTCTTTGGGTGGCCATTTTACAAGTGTTGTCTTTGTATAGCAATGCTGGTTATATTTTACCTCTTGGCTCTCTTCATCTGCTTCCATATCCTTGTCAAGTGTCCAAGACATCCTGGGAAGTTCAGTGCTCTTTCTGGCAGCTCATATATATATATGTAGCTGTTTTAAGTTAAGTCTTACTTGTGAGTTACCTTTTTATTGCCATTACGATGGTAACATACAGCACTACCTCCTGCAGATATGGCCCTAATGATCCTGTATATTCTGTAACAGTTCCAACTTCCAATGCTGCCTTTCTACTCAGGGTTTTGCAAGTCACCAACTAAGATTGGAGCATGTGTAAGAATCAACTCAATGCTTAATATACTTGTATTGCTGCAGAAAAGTGGTATGTTAATCAATGTCTTGATCTCTGCAAAGTAGAGCCACTATGAGCCTTTCACAGACATATCAGTCTCTGTGTTTATTTTTGCCGATATGCACCAGACTTTAAGTTGTATATATTTTGTTGTATTTGAGGAAAATATCAATCCTCAATTACATTTCTTTGTCGTATGGGTTTGATAATGACTGAGGGAATCATCGCCAAATATATTTATTTAAAAAATGCATATATCAGCCAACAAATCTTTATCTGATCATTCTTGCTCCCACATTTCGGTATCCCGAAATTCCATATTCATCAAGCTGTGGCCTATTTTATATGAGGCATGTTGCAGCTGAACATCCCTCACCTCACCCTCCCCCTCCAAACAAGAAAAAGAACCTTTGGCAGCCGTCAGTTGTCATAAAAACTCAAAAGGTGTTCAGTTTCGACCAGTCTGGACTAATGTAAAAAACATGGTGGCCTCTGTAGAGAGGACCCCCTCAATGTAAATATAAAGTATTTAAATATAAAATGGATTTCTGGGGAAAAGAAAACTACAATTCATACAATTTAGATGAAACGAACTAGTGAAAACATCATGAAGATGATTCTACATTAAATTTCTGTCGATAGTTCCCTTTCACCTAAATCTTAAGCACTGGACCTTTAAAGATGTACTTTGACACAATTGCCATTCTTAAATTGAATAAGTGTGAATATGGGAAGAAGAAGACCACATGATAAATAGTTGTTCCTTTAAATGAAGTTGGGTGAACTGGATAATTTGGTACTGCACACAGCCTCTTATCCTGTCATGTTAAATCTACTCCAGAAACTGCAGTGTTTTTCTTTCCAGCCCCAGATTCAAACAGATTACTAAAAGATTTGCGTGGACATACTTTTACCATCTAAGGAAGTTACAGAAGGTAGAAGAAGGACTATGAAATTAGAAAATTTCAAAGACAAAGATAGATTGGATTATCTTTGAAGGTAGATAGTTGTACTCTTTGATGTAAGAATTTTATTATTGACCATGACCATATGTCTGAAATTCATATTTAATTGTAAAGACAATGTTACCCAGCACAAAGTTTATTCTCAAATTTTAATTGGAGTTGGATTACTCCAATGTTGTTTGTGCTTCCTGCTGCTGCAGCACTGTGGGTTTAAGAGAATATTTAATAGAGCATTTCTGCTAATGGTCTTTACAGATCTATTTTAAATGACCTCTGTATATGTGTGTGTGCGTGTGAGTGAGTGCATTTTTTTCCTTTTTCTGACACTCGTGTGTGTGCATGTGAGTGTGTTTGTCTTTTTTCTGAAACTTCTGTGTGGGCATGTTAACGACAGAAACCATTGGTAGTAACAGTCCCTCCACGTGTGTTCTTTCTCTCGAGTTAACGAGTTGGTGCCTCTCTTTGAAGGGAGGAACAAAAGCATGAGGCTTTTAACTCATTGTTTTTCTGTGTGTTATTCCCTCCAGGGTTGTCAGCGTATTGTGGAGGACTGGCAGAGAATACTGATGGTCCGATCGCTGGTCATCAGCCCTCACGAGGACATGAGGACTTGGCTGAAGTACGCCAGCCTCTGTGGCAAGAGTGGACGTCTGGTCAGTACATTCAGTGGAAGGCAACAAAACTAAAAACCAATAATGACCTGGATTATGCTGTGAGGCTCCTATGCAGAATTTTAAAACATCAGATTTTGTTGTAGTGTCAAATACTGATACAGCATTAATGTGTAACTAAACAACTAATGTTCTACTGTATCACATTTAAGAAAAGGAGATCCTGCTCACAATAAAATACATTAACCATTTAAAATTAGACAACAGTGCAGTGTAATAAGAATTATATGTATTGTCCTAAGAGTCTTAGAATCCTCATGTCTGGCCCCGATCATTCATTCTATAATTAATTGTTATCCCATATCATTCAGGAGGAATAAATCAGAGCTGATTAAATAAGTCCTGTCAAACAGAAACAGGAAGTTGAGCTCTCACAGAGTTAAGTGCAGCAATGAACTCCAGCCATGAAATTGAATTTCACTTCAACCGGTTTTAAGTTGGCACTAATGAAAGTAGTGCAGGACTCTCAATCACACTGTTTAGAAACCTGAACCCACATATCTTCTCAATTAAAATGGTTTCTTTTTTTACACACAGGGTGACAGAGTCACCAACAATGATATCATTAAAAAAGAGATGTGATTACCATCAGTTGGAAAAAATTACCCCACTAAGACATTATACCCTGTGGAGTCGCGAGGTTAAAGTTTCCAAGCCCCCCCTTTCTTTTTGCCTCTTTATCGGATAATCTGTAGTCGGAAGTCTGTGTATGTCGTTGGGAAGCTGCTATTATCACCTTCTGGCTTCTTTTTGAACTATAAACCTTGTGACCATTCTTTTGCCCTTTAACCTCTGTTGCACTCTTCATCCCTTTAGGCACTGGCCCACAAGACCCTGGTGCTCCTTCTTGGTGTCGACCCCTCCAAGCAACTTGATCACCCGCTGCCAACAGCCCACCCACACGTCACCTACGCTTATATGAAGTATATGTGGAAGAGTGCCCGCAAGGTAGGAGCAAGCAGATCATTGGTGGTTTGAAATTTAGATAGTTTTTATTGTTGTTCGTAGTTTGTAACTTTCAAATTAATTCAGTGTTGTAGTAGAACCATTATTAGAAATATCAACACCAACCAGCAGTATCTGTAAAAAGGGATTGAAATTTTAGAATACTGAACACTACATAATATCAGCCTAGTGCCAGTATAATAAAGCTCAATGATGCTGATTGGACCAACTGATTGTAGTTGCTCAACACCTCCAGAGAAAGAACACCACCCGCGAGCTAACACCCATCAGGATGCAGTTTGGATTGTTTGATACAGAACTGCAATATATATTAGTTGTAGGAAGAAAAAAATGTTTGGAAGATTCTCTGTAGTTGGCAATAAGGTTGTCTTGAGGTACAAATGTAAAACAGCTATATTTGTTTTTTCATACAAACCCTGTACAAACACACAAGAAAACAATGTGGAATTGCTTGAAGAGTTGAACCTGCAGAGGATTATCACCTGAACCGGCAGCTCCACTCTGCTTTACAGAACAGTATAGTGAGTTGCATCTTATTTTTAACAGTCTGAGCCACAATTTTATTGTCTTTGATCATTGTCATTGAACTTACAGTGACAAGACTTCAGCAGGCAGCTGTTTTCTGTGATAAAGCTCTAAAAACCCAGAGCACAGTACTTGCTCAGCAACAAACAAGTAGCTGGTGAACATAGTGGAACATTTAGCAGCTAAAGAGCCAGATAGTTCCCTCGGGAGTTTGTAGAGACAAAATCAGGGAAAAGTTATTGCAAGTATAAATCAGCCTGTTAATGAGTTGAATGTTGGCTGTTACGTTTATTTGTGAATAAGTAAATTGTTGTACTTGCAGGTCTATAAATAAAAAGCGTGTGATTTGACAGAATTTTCAGGAGTGATTTGGAGTCTAAAAACAGCTCATCCAGATAATGACGTTGTGGAGGAAAAAATCCTTAACTCATTGCAGTTACAGCAGATCTCAAGTAAATATATTTAACTTTGGACAGTACTGAAATTATTAAGGTTTAAAAAGTTAGTTTTTCAGAAATTGTAAGATTAAAGGGTTTGATTTTATGTGCATTAATTATTGTTGTTCCTTTGGAGATTACGTAGCTCAGGTTGTGTAAAGCTTCCCCCGTGGTCAGTAAAATCAACTCTGTTACATTAAAATGAATGTTGATATTTATCTTTTGTGTCCACGGTAGCAGTGGATGAAGTGAGTCTCATTTTGTTTAGTTCAGAAAGATCAGTCTGTCTGTGCTACAGCACATGGACACATGCCAGCTTTCAGCCAATGTGACCTAACATTATGCTGTATGTTTCACACTACATATTACCAGAGGGGACCCCCCCCACACACACACATTCTACACACACACTTTCACATATAGTATATATACCCCCCCAGGCACACATAAACATACACATATATTACCAGGTGTTGAATAATGATTGTGGCTCCAGAGTGCAGGTCTCATTAGTGGACTTAGGTAAGTGTTGTCAGGACCAGCTGCACTGCTCACCAGACGAATTAGAATTAAAACACACACACACACACTCATACACATGCACATGCGCTCACATAACTAGAGAGGACCGATCTGCACTTTTCGGGGACCGTTCCCGATGCGTTGGATCAGTATAGAATGCTCAGCATAGCTTGTTACGACTTGCTTTGATGGAATCTTCTACTGGCATTAGACAATTTGTAGTTGTTACTGATCATATCTGATCTGATTCAGTCAGATAATTCAATCATTTTCCTTCTACATGTAAACTTAACTCGAAGTTCATTAAAAGTAGAAGAAAATGCTGAGCACAGCAGTCTGTCACTTTCCCAGATCTGTGCAAGCAGCTTTGTATGTGGCATAGACCGGCTAATTTACAGAGGTCCTAACTGATATATGAACAGAAAAAACCCAATCTTGCATTAAAACAGACAGACAGTTGAACTATAGAATACATCTATAGTCTTTCAAAACAATTATCATTTATAAAAACAATTGTGCTCGTCAACTGTTCACAGTTCATATATCACATGCTTATATTTCATTCAGACTGTTTTCAGGCACCACAGACATACACACTTCTCTGGGTGACACTAAGTCTTTACCTGCATTTGTTTTGTACTCCTCCAGATTGATGCCTTTCAGCACATGCAACACTTTGTGCAAGGGATGCAGCAGCAGGCCCAGCACGCCATTGCAGCTGAGGACCAACAGCACAAGCAGGAGGTCCACAAACTGATGGCCAGGTCTGTCTGTCTCTTTACTGGAAACACAGTAGCAACAGTTCACCATCTAATGAGCCTTTCTCTCAGAAGATGTTTGGACCTGTCGCTGTAGCAAAAGCACAGGTGTGAACACAAACTGAATGATGGCTGAACTCCATGTAGCTGCTTCAGCTTCATGGTATTGTGCATGTTGGCTCACTGTCATGAAAATGACTGGTGCTATTGTTAATGTGATTGCAACACCTGTGAATTTTCTTGCTATGACCTAATAAGGTTGGATTATGGTGATTATCAAGTGTCTACATATCTTTCCAGATTTCCTCTGTTTAAATATGTCTCTTCCCAAGCTTCAGCTGGAGGTGTTATTGTTCAAATTGACAATGCTTCTATCATCCCGTTCTCGTGAATGCCTTATTTTAGAAACACCTTAAGGAAGTTTCTTCAAAATTCATTCCCTTACAATCACTTGCAATCAAGGATGAACTGATTAGATTTTGGTGGTCAAAGGTCACTGTGAACTCTGAGACACATTTTAGGCCATAACTAAAGAATTGTGCTAATTATAACAAAAAATAACAGTCAATATAATTTATTAGTTTTCTTTCAAGTCTTCACTACAAAAAGACATAGATGTAAACTGCAATTTAAAGGGATAATTCACCCAAAAAATGAAAATTCACTCATTATCTACTCACAACTATGCCGATGGAGGGTTGGGTGAAGTGTTTGATTCTTGTTGAGTAAAGTATATCAGTCTACTGTAATATAATAATAATAATTAAACAGTTTCACTTACAAGTATATTCCAAGGTACCTGACTTAATCATTGCATTAAGGCTTAAGAGGTCATGGTTTCTCATGCCTTTATTTATAACATATAATTATACAAAACCAAATAAATTCAGAAAAAACTTTATATTTTCAGAAACCTGTTCTTTTGCAGTCTTATGGAACACGTTATTCTTTCCATTGCAAAGATGTGGCAAATAATGGCAATCCAATCATCAATTTCAGGTTTTTCTTGTTTCAGATTTTTTTTTCCAGCAACCTGGTAACATTTTCTGAAGGCAGAACTCCCAAATAGAGGGACTCCAAATTAAATGGAATTTTAAACTGGAAAGCGTTTTGCAAAACTTTATGAACTTCCTGCCAGAATGGGCTTAACATTGAGCTAGAGCAGAATATATGATAATGATTTGCCTCAGAGGACCCAAATTGTCTGCAGAAACTGGACAATTTAGTAAAATGAGTCTTGAACTGGAGTAAATAAGAACCTGATAACGTTTGTTCTTTGACAAAATACTTTCCATAAAAGCACAATTTGATGATGCTGAAAAACTGATTCACTACTGAGTTGACTGGTGTTTTGACGGATGATTGACACTTCAACAGTCTAACCTTTAACATTACAATGTGTTAATCCATACATTCATAATGCAACAATACTAAAGTCCATTGACCCTTATAGTATATGAGTAAACTAAATACTTATACTTTGAATTCATGCAGATGCACCAGAGGAAGTGTATAATTGTTTTTCCCTTTACAAGAAGCGCAGGTAATTGCTGATGATTATACTGTAGTTATATATGTACATTTATAGTACATTTTTATGTTTTCTATTACCTGTAATCAGAAAGTTGCTTTTAGCCTTTACTAGTACAAAAACCAAGATAGTAAGAGGGCACACTTGAATAAAGGAGTTGCATTACATTTTCTAGGGGAAAAAAACATTTGTCTATTAAGGTGAATACACATATGTGACTGACTGCATTGCTTTGATTATTGGTTATTGGTCTACAACACAAGCTGACAGACAAATTGACCCTGGTATTTTGACTTAGGCCCAATCCATCCACCCCTTGCGTTTCTTCTCCATATATATATTTTCAGATTCATTGTTTAATGACGCTGGCACAGAGCCCAAAGGGATAGGTGTTTATGGGCTGATCAGACAACAACAACAACAACAACAACAACAAAAAAAGACTGTGGCGTCCGACAGAGAGATAGCCAGTCCAGCAAAGCTAGAGCAAAAGTAAATCCACAATTTTTCAAATTCCAATTGCCACTGTTGTGGTTTGTGAATTCTAAAACCCACTTCATCGAATCAGAGAGAATGTGAAGCAATTTGCAGAAAGGAAAAAGTAAGCTCACATGTTTTCTGTCCTCAAAACGTAAACACACAGGGTCACGTACAGTGCATTCTGCTTCTTTTCCATGAGCATGACCACAATCTGGCATGACACCTTTTACTAGTCCATTGGCATCCTGTGGTCTTTTTCAAAGCTGGCCAGACTTTCTGAATGTCTCAGACTTCTCAATAAAATGATCCCTTTGGCAGTCATCTACGACATGACACCATGCCACAGGTTTCACCAAGTGTCGCTCCTCTCCCAGAGGGTGAGGGTGGGTGGTGCGATCTGTTTCTGACCATACTGGCACAGCCTTGGCACCTTTACTCCATCATTACCTCTACTCGCTGTCAGAAAAGATGAAGTCTGCTCGACCAGTTGGCAAACTTTACAGCAGATTTTTAGAAAAACTTAAATAATTATCTTATGTTTTCAGTTGCTGGAGTAGGGAATTCGAAAATGGAAAGTTTTATATCCTCCAAAATAGCTGGAAATGAATTCAAACTCTTATAGTTGTTTTCGTGCTCTTGTGGGCTCATCAAAATATTTGCGCTGTGTTATGTTCAAACAACTCAAAACAAGCAAAATGTGCAACACAGAAGCAGACAGGTATAATCATATGTACACTAAATCATACAGTAGTCAGATCTGGGCTTGTGCAGTCATGTGCGACCTCCCATTTCATAAATCATACATGACAACACACACACACACACACACACACACACACACACACACACACATGACAACAGGATTTTTTTTTTTCCCCCCATCTGTGCATCTTCCAGACAGTGACTCTGGCTGTGTGAGGAATGCATGTTAGGGAAAACACCTGTATGCTGTCAGTCAGGACGTCTTCTCTCCAGACGTGCTGACACACTTTCCTGAATACAGGTTAGCTGCGTGGTATGGAGCACACCTGGACTGCTCCGTCAGACACACATATTCACACAATCACATGGATGCCTCCACTCTCTCCCAAGAATCCAGGGTAAATTCACTGTTTCTTTACTGAAGATCAGTAAGCCTTGTGTCTCCTGTCCAAAGAGACAGCTTGTTCCCAAACGCCCAGTCCTCCTCCTGCTTCTTCCCTCAAACTTCAGCCTGTCAACCACTTACACAAACATTTTGGCTTCGATGCTCTGAACCCAAAGTGCTTTCCCATGGAAAATTACATAATTCGAAAAGATTATTTATTGAAACAGTATTCAAACTCCTGATGGATTGGTTGACAACACACTGCTTGATAGTTTATCTGGTTGGTTTTGTTCGAATGATGTTTTGGTCCCAGAAAACTAGTCACATTCTTTGCCTGTCAGCATCTGTGTTTCTGTGATGGTTGGAGTCAAATCCCGTAAGGGATGCCATTGTTAGGTTAAATAGAATTAAAAAGGGCTTAGATCATTGAAAATCTCCAGATGTGATCCAGAATCTTTCAGCAGACCAATGCACTGCTCTCTTAAGTAGTGCTGATAAATGTGTGGATAATTTTAAAGTCCAGTATAATTATCTCACTCCTTTTAATAACTGCCTCTGTTATACTTAATGTCACTACAAACCCGTTATGAGTAATGACGACGATGAAGAGTGATTAGAAACTCATAATGATTTCTCTTTGTGGTTTGTCTCAGCAATGCATTTGCTTCCTTGTTGCTAATGTTTTCATTGCGTTAGTAACAAGTACAGAGCTTGCTGACACACTTCCCTGAAGCTGCGTGGTATGGAGCACACCTGGACTGCTCCGTCAGAGACACACAGTCACACAATCACATGGAAGCCTCCACTCTTTCCCAAGAATCCACAGTAAATTCACAGTTTCTTTACCAAAGAAACAGCTTGTTCCCAAACATATGTTTTTTATGGGGTTTTTTTAGGGCTTACTTTTGTGTTCCCTTGCAAATAATTTTTTCTTCCTACTCCTTCTGAGCCATACGCAGTAGAGAGCAGCTCTGACCCTTTTTTCTGTCTGAACCCATCTGAGCTCAATAGAAAACCAATGGAGCCCGATCCGAACAGGCATTTTCAAATCTAATGCAGTTGATATAAGCTGCACTGGGTTTGTGTTACCTTGTCCCCGACACACATGGTCATTGCTTATTTCAGACATGTGAAGTGAAAAAATCAGCCCAGCTAAAGTGACAGACTCAACCTGAATCCAAATATCCTTTTAAGATTTTTGTCCAAACCCAGCATGGCATGCTGGTGGGCTTGGGTCGGGTGTCCACACTGTTTTATGTAGCCCACTTCTGCTCATCATCTACCACTGCAACCCTGCATATTGAATTTAACTTTTAACTGGGCACGGAGTGTTAAAGTACTGCATTAAGGATAACTACATGGATACAGATCACTGCACATTTGTGCACCAATAATGAATTGGCAATGTTGGTTCCAAAGGAATTTATTGCGAGAGAACACAAAAGGAATCCTCAAAATATTTCTCACTGTGACACTTCGGGGGCCCTGTACCTTTTAGTGTTTCCAGTGTAAGAGTTAAAGCAGCACAAGGGTTCAGTTTACTGGAAGCTGCGTAGCCCTAGAAGCTAATAGCTCATTTCTAAGCCTATACTACCTGCTCAGACAACAATCACAAAATCATCATCACACTAAAAACCAGCCATCATGTTGTCCTCTCATGTCACGCGATGAACAGCCACAGCAGTTGTGCTGGTCTCTTCACCTCTGCAACAATCTGTACTGAAAATACCAAACTAGCCATACCATACCAAACTGTGTATTTGAGAAGTAGCCTTAGATTAAATGTTTGTCCTTCTGTTTATCCCTTTCTTCCATGTAGATGTTTCCTGAAGCTGGGAGAGTGGCAGCTCAGTCTGCAGGGGATCAATGAGAGCACCATCCCCAAGGTTTTGCAGTATTACAGCCATTCCACTGAGCATGACCGCAACTGGTACAAGGTCAGTACCTCCCCTTCATCTCTAACCTTTCACTTTTGACTTATCTCTGGCCACAGTAAAATCCCAGCTGTGTCAGCAGGAAGCTGCCCTGACACTGATGTGTCATTGGGAAAACTTAAGAGCCCGTTTTATTACCATTCAAACTAACACATCATAAAAGAGCTTTTTGTTTAGTTTTTTTCTACGAACAGTTATTTATTTTTGCTCAAACTGTTACATTGCTGGTTCCTCTGCTGATGCATCAAATAAATGAGGTGATGGAATATCTGAGAGTATCTCTGCTTTTTCTTACACATACCTGACCTGCGGGCCACAAAGATATCACTACACCCACATTACCTCTCTCCCCATCCATCCGCAGAAACTCCTTGTACCCTTTCGCCTGTAATAGCTGGTTGCATAACGCAACAAACATTAAAGTCATATGTTTGGATGCGAAAAATTACAGCCCCATGGGACATGTCTGTCCCTTTAGTAAACTGGAAAAACATGGAAGTTATTTCCAGTTTCCACTTGGAAATCCAGCTTCACCCAGTTTGTACCATCTGTCTGCAGGCCTGGCACGCATGGGCCGTGATGAATTTTGAGGCGGTCCTACACTACAAGCACCAAAACCAAGGACGCGACGAAAAGAAGAAGTTGCGACACGCCAGCGGTGCCAGTGCTAACAGTGAAGCCAGCAACAGTGACAGCGAAGTGGACAGCACAGACCACAGTCCTGTGCCTTCACCGGGCCAGAAAAAGGTCAATGAGGTGAGAATCGGATGAAATCCTGTTCACAGTGTTCTCTTCTACCAGCACTCCCAGTCAAACCTAGTTTGGGTACACACTGTCTGCATTACCCATGCAGTGTTTAAGCCGCTCAAGCAACATACCTCATCCAGTTTACATTTTTAGCTCACGTGCAATTGCTACTGAAAAACTACAGATCCCGATAGATAGATTTATTTGTCCTTTTTCAGGAAATGTATCATTCTACACAGCAGTTGTCAGACACTTAGATATGTAAATTCTTCACCAGATAGCATTGGACTAAAGATTTCACAAAGTTTCTGCACTTTGTACAAATAAAACAAACCGAGCACTAACGCACTGTATCTTTGTCGAGCAACTAAACTAAAACTATCTAATCAATTTTTTAAATTCTTCATTTATAGTTCTGCTCAGTCTTTGCTCTCCCCATTAATAGTAAAATTATGAATATTTGAACTGTAAATTACAGTGAACCTTGACATAATCAACTACAGCCGACACCTACAGTACACTGTCCAGAATGTTTGATTTTGTCATGCATGAAAAGGCATCTGTTGTCTCTCCACAGGATCTCTCAAAGACGTTGCTCTTGTACACAGTTCCTGCTGTTCAAGGTTTCTTCCGCTCCATATCCCTGTCCAGAGGCAATAACCTGCAGGACACACTCAGGTGAGTTAAATGACTAACACAAGCTTAATGCACAGCAAACAAACAGCAACCTTCATCAAGGACACTATGTGGCATGTTAGGATAGGAGGACCTCTAGTGGTTGGTTGTGATTGCACTATTCCATTATCCTTTATGAACTGGAAAATAAAGTTTCTATTTGAATTCTTGTTCTGTGTTCTGCTGTTCAGGGTTCTGACTCTTTGGTTTGACTATGGTCATTGGCCTGAAGTGAACGAAGGCCTGGTGGAGGGCATCAAGACCATTCAAATCGACACCTGGCTGCAGGTAATGCATGCACACACTTTCAAACACACATGGGATTTAGCTACAGATAAAGAAGTATGATAAGTGAATACCTGTGGAAGTGAGAATGCTTGTATAGGATAAATGAGTAATGCTGGTGTGAATTTCAAAAATACTTTAAAATACACCATATTGTCAGTTCCCTCTCACTGTGTCTCTGCTCTATTTCATATTTCATATATAACCCCAGGTTACAGAGTTTTATCCATTTTCTTTGCTTTTCCAGGTGATCCCTCAGCTCATAGCTCGAATCGATACCCCTCGAGCCCTGGTGGGGCGCCTCATCCACCAGCTGCTCACAGACATCGGACGCTATCATCCTCAGGTAAGTCAGCTCACACTGCTGCTAATATTTTATAAGGTAATATAAAACAGAACATAGACCACATTTGTGTTAATAACTACATAACCAAGTACCATCAGTGAATAGTGCTGAATTGCTGGATTCTTCTGTTTTCTCGTCCAGGCTTTGATCTACCCACTGACTGTGGCCTCCAAGTCCACCACCACAGCACGCCACAATGCTGCGAACAAAATCCTGAAGAATATGTGTGAACACTGCAACACTTTGGTTCAGCAGGCCATGATGGTAGAGACACTAATTCATTTATACTTTTCATCACTGGATAAAATAATCTTCATCCTTTTTGAAGCATGAAGCAGATTTGTTCCCTCCACACTCCGCTGACCTGCACTCACTTCACCAATAAATGCCAACACTCACAAGTTACTAGGACCCGATCACACAGTTCACCTGCCATGTGCAGCACGAGATGCCAGGACATCAGGGTTAAAATGAATGTAATGATTCGGATTCATGATTAATTCTAATTCAAATTCTTAAGAATTCACAGTCCATTGCTCTTTGAAAGGGTGATTATTATATTATCATAACAGCTGTAGTATGAAATGGTTTGAAAATAATGACAATAATATAATTTATCACAATAATTTCAAAATTTCAAAATTTGGTGTGATGACAGGCCTACCTTAATATCTTAATAATGCACCTGCAAGTTAGCGTTTTCCTTGCAAAGTTTACAGCTTTAGTTCTCTGAAAATGTATTTCATATCCAAGCAAAATTGTTATTGTACACTGAAAAATCCCTAAGTGAATCAATATTGATTCGAATCTGGAATCAAATCAATTTAGGAAATTAGTAGCGATACCCAGCCCTAGAGACTTGAGTTATGCTCTACTAGAAGTTTGTCTCTGCTCCATGTACAGTAACTGTGGATCAATCAGACAACAGCTTTTTTCTCCTCCCAGACTTGAATAGTCAACTTTAGAGACTGAGTTCCCCCGCATCTTTTTAACACATTTATGTTTTGATCTCATAAAAAAGACATCAATTCGAATCAGAAAATCTGAATGTCTTTCTGCCTCTGCTATACATGTAAATGTAAAAATCTCAATGAAAACAATGAAATCCTGCCAGTGTCTCAGAGCAAGTATTTGTGCTTTTGGTTTCACTCATGTGATTTGCTATAGCGATGAGATCAATTTGAATTAATCTAAAATGCTGATGTCATCCATGAAGACCAGAGTTATTTGTAGAAAAAAGCAAAGAGCAGTCTGACCTTTTCATATTTTTTGTCCAGGTGAGTGAGGAACTCATCCGAGTGGCCATCTTATGGCACGAAATGTGGCACGAAGGCCTTGAAGAAGCTTCACGTCTTTACTTTGGTGAGCGCAATGTCAAGGGAATGTTTGCTGTGCTGGAGCCTCTACATGCCATGATGGAGAGAGGACCACAAACCCTCAAAGAAACCTCTTTTAACCAGGTACGTCTTTACGTTCTTAAGGATTTGTTTTTACTTTGACATTAGTCTCGCTAGTGAGTTCATTCTCAGCACACTCCTATGACCAGTACATGTAGAGGGCTGGTGTCTTTCTTCTGCCTGCATGCTGAGTCGCATATCTGCTCTAGCTCAACTGCATTTCCAAATGCAGTTGAGCTAGAGCAGATATTACTTGTTTTATACAGAGAAGTGGATTTTTTTTCCAGTTCACTGGGCCACTGATGCAGTGGAATTGGCTCCTGATAGCCTGTCTAACTATGACTGATGGAACCATTGTCACTGTGTATGTGAGAGAGATGGACTCAGAGCTAAAAAAACACACAATGTTGGGCATTTTATGTGTAAAACATATTCCTCAATTGAGATAATAATGACGTTGTCTGATGTTGTCTGACTATGTGCTATAGGCTTATGGCAGGGACTTGATGGAGGCTCAGGACTGGTGCAGGAAGTACATGCGGTCTGGAAATGTCAAAGACCTGACTCAGGCCTGGGACCTCTACTACCATGTGTTCAGACGCATCTCCAAACAGCTGCCACAGGTGAGTGAAACTATAGAGTCGGTGCTCTGAATTTCTTATAAACTACCTTACATGAAAAACAGCATAGTTGTACAGTACAATATATAAATAGGTATTTCCTGAAGTACAGGAAAGTATTGGTGTTGCTTTAATATGTTCATCAAAGGAACAAATGACGGGTTCACACCTTGTATTAATATTTATCTTGGATGACTGCTTGTGATCAAATCTCACTTCACTGGCTCTTTATACAAATTAATAAATAATTAGATAAATATGTCAGTGAACAAAAACTGATGTGAATCAGAGAAATGTGGATGAAAAGAGTCCAGCACATCTATTATTGCTCTGGGGGAAAATCAAGCTGACATCCCAGCCTGACATCCCAACCCTGCATGCCGATGTCCATTCCAATCTCTCATCAGATGTGATGAGATATGTTCTTCTCTTTCATGTCCAAACTTGTTCTGTGATCTGCTGACAGGGAAAGCCCAAATACTGTCTGTTAGTCACGTAAAGTGGTATAATGGAAGATTTTGATAGAGGAAAAAGGGACTTCTTTCATTTATCCATGTCTGGAAGAATTCAATGAACAAGATGCCAACAGAAGTATTGAAAGATAGCTGTGTGATGAGACAGAAAGATAATGGAAATCAAAGAGGAAAGCAAGCTTGAAACATATCTCTTTAACCTGGTTTACAGACAGTACTTTATTGCATCTCAAGGTTGAATTTGGTATATTTTTTACCCCATTTTCTATTCTATCATATTAAATTGCCAGTATTTTTATTTTTTAATCTTTTTCTTGGCTCATCAGTCAATTGTCAAGCATTATTAACCTGCATTTATCTGTAAAACAATAGCTGTACAATTAGTTTGATTGATTGATATTTAGAAACCAGTGTCCACATTAATATTGCCACGCTGCCGGATAAGCTCCTCGAGCTATGATGAACTTGTCTGAGGCAAGTGCTGCAGAGTCAGAGTCAGTGGCACAACATCGAGGGCTTAAACTGCACCAGCACCAGCTTTTGTTGCTTCTGGAGTGAAGATGAAATTGGTCTGATAGATGTCATTTCTCACAGCCATCATCACATTGTTGAGGAATGACATTATAAACAGTTCTGTCAGGAGCAATCACTTCACAGAGCAAATGGAGACAGGCATACTATTTGACAGTGTGGCAGAGTTCTGCTTCTGGGGGGACGCTCCCCCGCTGCGGCATTACAGTAAGCAGCATGAAATACACAGCACTATAATAACATGCTGGGAGCAGTGCAAATATTTCCCCCACAGGGTATTAGCATAGATATAAACCCTCTTCAGGATGCATCCAGACAACAGATTCACAGCAGGTTGAAGCTGTGCTGGAGTCACCATTCATCAGAATGAACAATATAAGCATACAAGCCTTTATATAGAAACAAAAGTCCATTTGTAAGCAGGTTAAATCACTGATTGTTGAGTGTAGACAAGCAGATAATAAGTTTATTGATGCACACAGTGAGTGAAATGTTCCAGTGGTTTATTGAAGGTTGCATATCAACAACTTTCTTCAGACCTTCACTTGAATATGAGCCAGTGTCTTTCACTCTGTGCATATTGCTGAAGGCATTGTTGACTGGAGCTGTTAGTCAGTGGAGTCTAAAAACTAACTGTCTCTTCTCTGCCACCTCATCAACTCTCCACCCAGCTGACCTCCCTGGAGCTGCAGTACGTGTCTCCAAAGCTGCTTATGTGCCGGGACCTGGAACTGGCCGTACCAGGCACTTACGACCCCAACCAGCCCATCATCCGCATCCAGTCCATCGCCGCCTCCCTGCAGGTCATCACCTCCAAACAGCGCCCCCGCAAGCTCACCATCATGGGTAAGATTAGGAGAAAATTGCGCAGGCCTTGGCTCTTAACCCATTATATTAGGAAAATGGATTAAAGAACGATCCAGTCATATGCTTTCACCAAGCAAGGGGCATCACATTAGAGAAAATTCAATATTAATATAATCTTCCACCTAAACAACAAAAAGGCCACGATTTATTTGGAATTCATCAGTCGTGGCAAAGTTAGGTGTGTGGATAGTACAGCAGAGGAAAAAATCTTCTCTACCAACAGAAGCAAGGTCAGACCAGTGATGAACTTCATAAAAATAGAAACAAAATGACCACAGAAAAACAAGGCTCGGTGGCCAGTCAGCTTTATTCCAAAGACATTGTTTTTTCATTTTCCTTCCCAGGAGGACTAATGCAGGCACACATCGCATCCTCCCAACATTGTTCGTGGTCATTAATTCAAATACAGAAATAAATAGGTCTGACATGTAGTCTTCATGCTGTATGATGTGAAATACAACACTAAAGTGCTTCAACAGTGGCTCAGCACTATAAAGTCTCCTTGTCCTGCAGCAAAATCCTCCGAATATCAATCACAAACCGTTCACTGTACTTCACTCTCCTCCTATGGCCAACGTGATACCTTGTTCTGATGTATCCCATAAGTGTTACACATCATACTGTGTAAAAGATGATGGCCAATACATCAACTAACCTCTGGAGCAAGACTTCAGATTAAGACCTGTCACCCGACTCCAAGCCACGTAGATTTACTGTCCGTGCTCTATCCCCCTAGCGACTCTCGGCACATCGCTCACAGGGACTGGCATTGAACAGGGACTTTGTTTTACTCCTTCTCCTGGAAGCATCAGTCAACTCCATTAAAAAAGGTTCTTTATGACAGTTACAGTTTGGGTGAAATAATTGTAATGTGGTCTGTTAAGAATATTGAGGACAGTATGAGAAAGTGGAACAAACAGACAAGTGAGCTCATCTGTACCTCCGATAACTTCAGTACATTTTCCTCTGTGTCATGATGAAAACTTGATTTTGCTTAATAGGATCAAGTTGATGTCACAGTTCATCCAGTGCAGGGATACATATTTTCCACTTTGCTCCACTCCATGTGATTCAATGAAAAAAATGAATTGATTAGAGTGAATGGATAAAACTTAAGATGTGTATTTCACAAAGTGGAACTCGTGAAGCTTTGAGTTCATTCTTTCACAAGTCACATGTGGGGTTCCTTTTCATAGCAGTTATTTTGACGTCAACTCCTCTTATTTGTTTTTTTTGTGTTTACATTCCAAGTCAAACACAGAGTGAGGGATTGCTGGGAGGAAACCTTTCCTATGAACGATGTGGTTCATATGAAATCCTTTACTGGATGCTTAAGACATTGCTTCAGGCGAGAGTAACGGAGATGCAGGTGCAGAGCAGCAGGGGAGCACCCTGGAGAAAACAGCCAGCACTTCCAAGTCCAAACATATGATGTCTCTTCCATATTATCTTAGCCGTGTGTATCGCAGCATGTCAATGTTGTGTTTGTTGCGCCCTCTGTAGGCAGCAATGGCCACGAATTCATGTTCCTGTTGAAGGGCCATGAGGACCTGAGGCAGGATGAGAGAGTCATGCAGCTCTTTGGTTTAGTCAACACACTGCTGGCCAACGACCCTGCGTCACTGCGCAAGAACCTCAGGTAGAGCCATGCACGTTTGCACACACACACACACAAACAAACAAAGGACGGTCATGTCTCCATGACTTCAGAGGATATTACATTGAATTACATTGATTTCATGGTGACTTACTTTCACTTTAACCATAGTGACTACTTGCCTAACCTTAATCGTAACCTAAACTTAACCTAACCTTAAACGTAATTATTGTCTTGACAATGAATTGTTTGTTTGTCTGTTTTGTGTTTGTCTTGGTTGTGTATGTCACCGAACAGCATTCAGCGCTACGCAGTGATCCCCCTCTCCACCAACTCAGGCCTGATTGGCTGGGTACCCCACTGTGACACCCTGCATGCCCTCATCAGAGACTACAGAGAGAAGAAAAAGATTTTGCTCAACATTGAACATCGCATCATGCTAAGGGTGAGGAACCACTGAGATTCATAAGGTTCCTGCTACCTTCATGGTGAAGGGCACATCAGCCAAAACTTAGGGATAAAACTATACTTTAATAACTAAAAACAAACCAACCAAAATCTAAATAGTGTTTTTCCTAAAACGTATAATGTAATATAAACATGTAAATATTGTTTGATTACATTGTTAGAGCTCAGCCTTCCATCAGTTAAATAATTTAGAACCATTAAGATGTTAAAAACGCTCACATTC